ACAAATTCATAAAAATGACTGGTGCGTTGGTTAGTTCAAATGGCATGACTAGGAACTCATAGTGTCCATACCTATTTCAGAAAGCTATTTTGACAATGTCTTCTACCTTGATCTTTACCTGATGATAACCTAAACACAGATTTATTTTGGAGAAGACTTGGGCACCCTACAACTGATCAAAATTGTCATCGATCCTGGGGTGGGGGTACTTGTTCTTGATCGTGACCTTGTTCAGTCCTCTGTAGTCAATACATAACCTTAACATCCTATCTCCCTTCCTTAAGAATGTGATTCCAGCACCCTAAGGGGACACACTATATCGGATGAACCCACTATTCTGCAATTCATTAATCTGTTTTCTCAACTCTTCCATCTCGATACGACACACGCAGTAAGGGATAACCGAGATAGGTTGGGTGCCCAGCTGAAGATCTATGGTGAATTCAACTTCTCTGTCCACTAGTAGTCTGGGTAGTTCATCCACAAACATATCCAAAAAGTCTCGGACTATTAGAATCTCTCAAATGCAAATTTCTTTTTTATGTTTGCCTAGTTAGAAAAAACAACCGAGTTTAAGCACTTGGTAATAATAAAATTACCATGAGGGAATAATGTTTAAAAAATTTTATTAATTTGTGAATGACTCTTTATTAAGAGGATTGAATACAAATTTCTTGTGAAAACAATCTATGGTAGCGTGATATGCTGCTAACCAGTTCATTTTTAGGATTACATTAAAACTCTAGTGTCAATATCTACTAAGTCCACACTCAATTTCCTATATGCTATGTCTATGATATAAGCTCTATATATAACCTCTCCTAATAGTGTCCTACTCTCAGGAGTAGACACAAACAATACAGAATCAAGTCTTTCAGGTAATACATTCAAGTTTGGTGTAAAAGCATGTGAGACAAATAAATGTGAGGCACCCGTATCAATCAAAATATGTGTAAGATGATTACAGATAGTGTATCACATTTGGATTGGCCTCTGAATCCTGCTGAGTGATGTTGTAAGCTCTGCCCTAAATGGTAGGTCTGACCTAGTTCTGATTCCTCTGGCACTCTCTCATGTAATGTTAGCCACTCCCACATATACGGCAAGTATTGTAGAGGTGATTGTAGAGTCGGTCTCCATGATCCTTACCACAGTGTTGGCAAGTCCTACCGCGTCCTGTTACTAGAATCTGAAGAGGAGCTTGAGTCACTGGCCTAGGTTCTTGTTCTGCTGAACAGGTGCAGTGACTGCTAGTTTACGGTGTGAAACTGAGGGCCTGAGATTCCTTACTACTAGAGGAAAGATGCGAAGGTTCCTCTCCACTAGTTGTGTCTTAGCCAGAATGGCTGAGTAAGTACTGAGCTGGAACACATACAGCTGCTGTCCAATCTCAGGATGGAGGCCTCACCCGAACTTTCTTACCTTTTTTTGCATTCATCCATCATGCTCTCAGGGGAATACCAGCCCAACTCTAACATAGTCATATCACCTGAACCAAGTGTGCAAACTTATTTTTTTTTAGATGTTGGAGATGCTCTTGGAGGTATTCTACATTGAAGGTCATCAGGAATTGTTCCCAAGTTACTGGAACGGGCAGGGTGGCTTGCTTGAGTTACCACCAGCGACCTGCCTCTCCCACCAGCATGTAGGTGGCGATAACTCTCTATTTAGGAACCACTCTAAGAGTTGTGAAAGCCTTCTCTGTCTTAGCTAACCAGTACTCGGCCTTTTCAAAGGAGGATGCCCCTGCAAAATTAAATGAGTTTAGTCTTTTGTACCTCCTAATGTATTCTGGATCCATCATGGGTGGAACTGGGCCCCTTGGAAGAGGGACTGGATTGCGTTGGGGAGGGATCGGATGGCCTTGTGGTGGTACTGGATGATACGATGGAGCTACCGGATTGTACTGTGGTGGTGCTGGGTGATTGAATTGCAATACCAGACTATACTGTAGTGATGTCAAGTGATGCGGTAGGGCACCAGACCATACTGTAGTGGTGTCGGATGGTACTGTAGAGGAGCAGGGTCGTAC